GTGTGACCCTGAGTCACACACCTCCTCATCATCCCCCACATCGCCCTCCAACAGGGTCCCCTCAAGTATCCCCCCCAAGCCGCTGGTATTCTCTCAGTAGAGTGTTTTTAAATGGTGTGTGCTGCTTTCTGGATCCAAAAAGTGTCTGATTTGGCCACGGCAAGCCTACCCATGCCCTCCTTCATCGGTCTTGTCCACGCCAACCACATTATGTACACCTTCACCCGGCTGAAGGCCTTCCAGCATCACCATTCTCAAGCCATTGATCCACTTTTTGAGGCGAATGGCGACCGGAGGAGAGCCTCAGATGCTGCACATTCTTCTTGGGTCAAATGTGCGTCCTACACTCCCACTAACGCTGCTATTTTACTGATACCGGTGTCCTGGGCTCTATTTGAGTCCTCATCAACCTTCCTATGCTGCTTTTGAAGCAGCGGTATAGCCTTAACTGTCTCCAATAAGTATCAGTGGCCCACTTCAACCCCCCCAGACGCAAGCACGCCCTCAAACTCGCCGGCTGATGGCCTTTTAGAGTCCTCTCCACTCCCATGCTTCATAAAAACTACCGATTCTGCTCGCAGATGGCTCATGTTATGCTCTATCGAACTCGCGTCGGACAACCGGCTACGATCCAAGCTTGCACATGGCTTACGTCGTGTTCCCAGCCGCTGTTGAGCGGAGAGGGTCTGGTCGGGAGCTATGGTTGCTGCCATGCCATCTCGGGCAAGCAGGACCGGCTGCGCGGTGCCTCACAATGCTTGTCGTCGCCTCACAAATGAGCGCCGCCACGCGCGCGCGCAGTCGTCGCCGCGCAACCCAATGGCACGCGCAACCGACGCAGGGAATGGGCAACCGCCGTGTTAGAGCACCTCATACAACCTGCCCCCGCCTCCAACACTATCTCTGTCGCACCCCAGCCCACTACTGCGTCAAAGGCAAAGCCAGTTGGAGAGCGGGAGGAGCAAGGGGCCCAATCCGGAAACGGGTTGGCGCCACGCTTGACCACCCAAGTGTACCCGCTGCGTTTCAGCGCCTCGCACATCCCCGCCGTTAACGCGCAGGAGAACGGAACCGGGCTGACGCCGCAGTCACGCCGGGGCCGGGGCCGGGAACAAGTCTGCGTCGGGCTTGTATGTGGGCCAAGCGATGATCCACGCTGTGGGCCAACGGGCCCACCGCGATGGCCCCACCAGTCGATCCTCCTCTAACCCTCCTCCTTTCGGCCAGCGCAAGTCCCACGACCGTGCAATGGTGTGCCAGGAGAGAGCAGGTGGCTTGTTCTGCATACGGGCGCGCAGCAGACTCCAGGGCCGGGGCTGGGGCTGGGGCCGGGGCCGGGGCCGGGGCCGGGGCCGGGGCCGGGGCCAGCGGGCCACAAGGAGGCCGTCGAATACAGTCCGGTGCTGCAGATATCGTGGGTGAAGACAAACGACAGGGTCATGCACTATTTGACCTCCACTGCAGCCTACGCCGTTCCCCGCCCGCGCTCGCGATTGACCACCAACGGACCGGCTCTGAGCCATCGTCAACTTCCCGTCATTTGTACGCGGCGCCAGCAACTGCATTGTGCGCCAGCGTAAGCCTGCACTTGGCAGCGGCGACTCGGTGCTTCATAGCGGGATGCAACGGGCGCGTGATGCGCAAGCCGGGAGACAGAGAGACTGCTCTACGATGGGAGGCTGCGCCGAGTGGGACATGTTTAGCCGGGTCGGTCTTGAAGTTCTAATCATTGTTGTACATACAAATCTCTATGAAACAAACTATGAAATCTCACTCTATTCATCCTCTTGCAACTCTGTTTCGACATCCTCTTGGTCCATAATATCCTCAAAATCAGTGTCGTCTAAATCTGTCTCGTATTCGTCCTCGCTTGCCTCTGCCCGCTCACGCTCCAAGCGTGCATCTTCGATCTCTTCTTCAGTCGGAATCTTGTATTGGGCATATGCACCATCTGCATACTCTGTTGCGAAGGCCTCCGCACCAAGCGAATACCATCTCTTTGCATCATCTGGGTTGCAGTACTTGAGCTCGGGGAAGGCTACACCATTCGCCGCGTACAGGGCCTTCTTCGTCGATCGCCATCGTTTCGTTGTAGTACGAGGGCGAAAAGAAGTCGAGAGGAGTGGGAACAAGTTTTTGTGTGATCTTTTAACTTGTAGTGTGCTTCTGGGTGAATAAGTGAAAGTTTGGATGGGGGTTTTAGGGTGTCAGTCTTATGGAGACGGGGTCTGAACATACAATGAGATACATATCCAGAAAATAAGGATCACTCACTGCCTGCCGCGCGTTTTCCTGGGGGGTACGCTTCCACTTTGCGATCACATTGTCGTCGAGCCCATGGAAGACCATGCCAGCAGCGGGATGACGGCCTGGTTTCTCGCATGCTTGATAGCGATAGGTGATCTTTTCGCCTTGGACTGTGACAATCTCTGGAATCTCCAAAGCCTCGTCATCGGAGTGGGCTTCCGGATTGCCGATGAGTCGGAGGAGTGGTTTGCGGAGTCCAAGCAACTTGGCGGCAGCATAACGGTCATCACGAAGCTGATATCGTTAGTTCAGTGTAGAAAGAGACAGAGAACTGACGCACAGTAATACGCCGTTTGATACGAGCATCCATGTCAGCTGATGTTTGAAGAGCGTCGGGATTGGTTTCATATTGCCGACTGACTTTGCCAAGGTAGCGTAAATAGCTGTCGTACCAGTCATGAAGCAGGTTGGTGTCATCAGAGATTCGAATAGAGACGCCAAGTTTGGTGAGACCAAAAGCCCGAGCGCTGTTCTGGAATGTGATGGTTGCGAGATGGCGATGGAGTTGGTTATAAGGAGAGCCAGCAGGGCCAAAGACATCAGGAAGGAAGCGGCGAAGCCCAGCGCCTGCGACGGCAGCAAAGGCGGCTCCGATGTGCTCGTGGGGAATCAGGGAAAGGTCCTTGGCAATTTGGCCTTTTGCAACCTGCGCCTTCTCCTTCACCTCTTCAAGAAGGTGCTGCGCCTTCCGCTTTGCCTCCCCAATCGGCTTCTTGGACTCCTCGACAAGCTGCCCCACATGTTCTGCAAGATTCTCGACCTCCTTGTAGCGAGACTCGAAGAATGTGATTTCATCGTCGGCCCGGCCGACCGGTGATGTTGCTGACAAGGCGCCAATCAAGGCTCGAATACAAGCCCGAAAGGCGGTCTGGAATGAGATGAGCGAATCAGCACTTTGGAATAAGACACACCTTGGTCCGTGTCTTCAATTGTGTCTGGTCATCGGGTAGGATCGGCGCCGGCTTCTTAGGCTTGCGTGCCTTCTTCTTCTTCTTCTTGGTCTTGGCGTTGTCGGCGGCAGGTTCTTCAGCCGGGATTGATGACTCTGGAGCAGCGGAGCCGCCCGCAGCCCCCGGGGCCGGGCGTGCCCGCTTTCGTGTGTCACTGGCAGGAGTGTCGGGGTCAGTATCAGATGGGACAGCTCTGTCCACTGATGATTTCCGTTTGAGCCCCATTGAAGAAGAGGGGATAGTCAGTAAAACGGAATATTTGACTGCTAATGTACTTCTTACAACAAAGAGCATCAATTGGCACTATAACGTGTGTTGATGTTGTGTCGCAACGTGCCCAAAACATGGCCATCATCTCTTTCATGCATTCAATTCTCCACTGACACATCCAAGAACCTCCGCAGTAGCGAGGGTGGTCAGCGGCCAGCACGCGGTAGGTCCGGTGCCAACCACGCGGCCGGACCGCGTGTTCCGGCACGCCACAGGCTGTGCCCCCAGTGTCCTCCCCATTCCCCTGGTGTCGAGTTGGGCTCGGCGACGGCTCGACGCGTCGTTCTCGGTCACGTGCTTCCCACGTGTGCGTTCCTCCTACTGGGGCGCATGTTCCCCGTCGTCACGTGCTGCGTGTTGCGGGGCCCGCAATGGCCCGACACCAGCGCCGGAGCGGACGGGCCGGGTCTTATCCGTGACACATATCCAGCCATGACAAAGACAAAGCGTAAGTCAAAGTCGCAGGCAGCAAGGACGTTCTGGCTGACTTCACCATGTCGGTCGCGATATCGCACCATGTCCGCTGCGGCTGCATGAGCTGGAATATGAACGCCATCGACAGCACCACGACAGTGCCGGAAAAAGGGAAAGTAGCGGTCACTATTGGAGATCTTGGGCGGTGTCTGATTGAGCGGATGTTGGATGTATTTTTGATAGAATGACCGACAGACAAGATGGAGGACTCGGTTGGTATACTTGCTGATAGTGTCGCCAGAATGCTGAAACCGTTCCATTAGTTCACGTTGGCTACTGCCGTGAACCATCCAGTAGAGGAATATCGCAACCTGCTCTGGCGCCGTGATAACTCGGCCATGCGTCAGACCGCCGTTGACAAGAAGTTCCCATGTCAGCAAGCAGAAAGCCGCTGGGTACATGCCAAGCTGATTGAAGCAGCGTTGTTTGTGCCCAGTAATCAATTCGTCGAGCCAAGCCTTGCCTGTGAGAATTGACGTATGCATAGGTTCTGGGAGAGGGCGCTCAAGACGAAGGAAGTGAGAAGCGAAAGTTGTTGCCGAGAGAGCTGCAATTAGAATGGCATAACGACGCTTCTGTACAGCTTGTATGATCTGCTGTTCGTCGGAGAGCCCATTGGCAATGACTGGTGGAGGCATTACACGTCGTATTATCAAGATAAGAGGTAGAAGATAAGATGCATCTAATATAATTTATAAGCTGATCTGCCATCATTCAGCAGCTTCCGCCATTCACGCGTGAAACCCCTCGCACCCGATCAGGGCCTAAGAAGAGAAAATTTGAAGCTGACGTCATCCCGATGATCTCAGCATTCTGACCTTCAGTTTTTGAAAAGAATAATTATTGTACGAAGCGGGGATCATATTTTATTTTTGGAAGAAGTTGAATCCCTCCTACTGTTCATGCAAAACTGTCCACATCGCTCCTCCTTATCGACCACATTCAATGAGATTCCCGCTGAGACCAAGTAACTTCCGAATCTTATCTCTGGCTTCGTCCTCAGGCCTCAGGCTCCGGACTCAGATCCTCGCCTACGCCGCGAGGGGCGGGAATCGTGCGCTATGAGGCAGGCGTGAGATAATGGCGCGGGTGGGGTAATAAACGCAGAAGCGTACCTCATAACCTGAATCATGCTCCCCCGAATCCGAGTCGGAGTCCGTCGGGTATTCGTCGTCATCGTCGCTATCTCCCGCGTCGCTACCTGCCTCGGTCCGTGTTCTCTGAGAATGTTCAATTAAGGAATAAGAAGGCAGAGCCGCAAGAAAGTAATAGCACCATTTGGCCCGGAACACGCACACTGGTAGCGAGGAGCAGTGTGTATTCAGGCACAGCTTCAACAAGTTCCTTCAAGTTGAAGAAGATGAGACATTGTAAGGACTCCACATGTGTGATGGCGCACCGGGATTTGACTGACATCGACGACGTTCAAGTCCAACGCGTCCATCGAGCTTCCGAGCTCCGCATCTTCCAGCGTGTCTGCCTCGTCAGCCGCCTGCCGGACAGGAGAACCAATTGTCTAGGAACCGGAGTAAATAACAGCGTCAACAGAGAGAAGATTAAGGGAAAACGCACCTCTGCATTGTCGCTCAGGCCAGCGGACGCCCGTGAGTCCTGGATGGCCTGCACATCCGCATTGACGTTATTCCCGGGCTATGAGCCAAGTAAATCAGAGATTTCCATAAGTATCGCGGTGGAGATCGTACCAGCTCTTCGTTGACCTCGCTGACGAAGGCCTGGGGAGTCCCCGGTACACGCAACGCGTCCGGCGAGGACTGCTGGGTAGGCGGGGCGTCGGTCGCGCTTTCCTGCGTGTTGAACTCCGACTTCGACTCAGAGGGCGTCATTCTTCGAGTGCGTGGTTTGGTGGAAGGCAAGCAAAGAGGGCGTATGAATCTGCAGGGGTCAAAGGCATTTAAGGCAGCCCAAAATGACGAAACACGCCTCTACCCTGGAAGTTGATGGAGAAGCCCTGAACAGATCGCACTTATCCGCCATCTTCAGGGTCGGCGCACGGAACACGAGGGCCGCGAGAAGCCACGGAGGCCGGGATTGCGTGGCACAGAAGCAACAGAGAAGCATGCCCTTGCGTCATCGCAGACGGAGCCAAGATGGAGCGCGGCCGTATGCAATGCGGGCCGGATGCGAGATCGATGCTGGCAGGAGGAAAGGTTTGTTGACGCCGCTGACTCAGCAACTCGTGACTGTGTGAATTGATGCGGCACATCTTGACTCCGGCGGCCATGTGCTCGCTCTTTCATTCTTAGACCATGGTTTCCCGAAGAACAGCAACACTACCCCGATCAACTCCAGCGCGCTGCACCGATATGCACACGCCGGGACAGTCCATCATCCGATGTGGCGCCGCGCAGCAATCTGCTCGTTCGCTATCAGCTGCTTCCCGACGGCAACAACCGCAAAGTGCACTACGGGTGCGGCACCACAACCACAAGAGTACACCATCAATCTTCGTTGCGCGCGGACTAGTCAACGTCGACATGGATTCACGAGGTTATGGTATACATATTCATAGACCAACTTGAACTAACTATAACTTGGACCATAGGCCGTTGACAACAACCACGCCAGTTTCGAGCACAAACACGGAGGCTGTCCAGTCTGCGCGGTGGTCGGTCGCCACTGCAAGTGTGCTGGTGCCGCACCGTCCGGGCCGAGCATGCCGGTGGCAAGACTGGGTGCGAAGGCAACACTAGCACCCGCGGGTTGATGGGGGGTGGCGTGAGCTGCGTCGAATGGGTCCAAGTTATCTCTATTGCCGTTAATGAAGAGTGGATTTCCCGACGCTTTGCTGTCGGCTGGGTTCCAGCCGGAGTACAAAGGCTGGCTCGGCACGAGGAAATCAAGGTCGCCCCCGTAGATACTGGCACTGAGCCATTGCCGCTCAACGCCGGGGTTGGAACTCGGCAGGCCGGACTCATGGGTACTAGTAGTGATCGATGGTGGGATCGTTGAGCACGCGGCGGTGGAATGGGCTGTGCCATAGGTGGGTGGATGCACGCCGAGCCAGTTCAAGTCAACGCTCGGCAGTGGCTCCGCTGTTCGCAGCGGCGGCACAGCACCTGCTAGCCATGGGTCCTGAAGCGGCACCGAATGGGCATCAACGGTTGACATCGTCGATGTCAATGCAGAAGAGGCAGCCGGTGAGTGGAAGCTTGACTCTGTATCTGTAGACTCAGAGGCTTGCCAGTGGAAGTCCAGATTGGAGTCCCAACCAGTACCCTGACGGACAGACTCAGTCGCAAGGGACGCCATTGATGGCCCGATAACACGGATCTCCCGGCCCGCTTCCGACCGCGCCGGTGGGCCGGCCCTGACTGCGGCTGGTGATACAGGCAAGCGTCTTCTGCCTCGGCGCGCACGCTTTTCCGACGACCCCGAGCCCAAATCTGCGCCCCGCCCATCGCGACTTGCTCCGCCCCGCGGTGGCCGCCGGCCATGGTAGCTTTCCGCCCTGAGCGCTAGCACCGGCTCATAGATACACACACGCCCGCTCTTGCGGCAGCGCAGACACTCCCGACTCTGGGAATTCGTCATACACTGAAGCTCGTGGTTAGTCTAAGCTTCCGTCATACGCAGAGACAGGGGCATTGCAACTCGCCTTGGTTTTGCTGGCGCGGCAGTGCATCAGGAAAAAAAAACTTTACTACTGAGCACCCAGTATCACCAGTAGCAGTGATAGCCTGGTAGACAAGTCCTGTAATACTTAGCACCTGGTAGCAACACAGCCATTGCTCAGTAGCACCTGGTAGCAATGACTGTAGAACCCAATAGCAGTCTGGTAGCAAACCAGTAGCCATGGATAGCAGCTTGTAGACAGACTTGATGTTGCTCAATTCACCATGAAAGTAGGCAATAAAAAGTATATTGAGCTACTAGTACATCTACAGACATAGTAACTACTACAACTAGAGGGGGAGAGGAGAAGAGGGGAGGAGAGGAAGAGAGAGGGGGGAGAGATATGTCAGAAGGGGGGGAAAGGGAAGGGAAGGGAAGGGGAAGAGAGCTCAGTTGGCTTACTATTTCCCTGCCCAGGTAAGGTCGCACCATCAAAGCGAGAAAGAAGCGCTGTGTAAGAACGGCGCCGCGGTTCGGGCTGAAAGTCGGTGAGCAAGCGGTGGTCATCGAGAAGCACATTTGTACCGAATATCGTGGGGTTTGGCGGTGAAATGACGGCAGTGGAGGCAAGCCGATCTCCAGGGAAAATGATCCACCACGCTGGAGTGGCGGGCAAAGAAGGGCTGCAACTCTATCAGGGTGGGTGGGGAGGCAACGCGGACATTCGTACCGCATTTCGTCCCGTTCCGCGCAGAATTGAGCGCTCAAGGGAGGCAAGAGTCGAGGTTTGGCAGAGGAAGTGGTCCGAGTCCCACCACCTCAGCGGTCGGCTGTTCGGGCTGAAATCGTGTAGGCGCGTGGAGGGCATATATGTCAACATGCATACCAAATCTGGGGCGATTCGGCGACGAATTGAGAGGGAGGTGGGCGGGGGGAGGCAGATGGAGGGAAGGATGATGGGGGAAAGGAAACAGGTGCCGCAAGTAATGTGGCGCCACCTTTTATTTGGCAGCAACCATCAATCATGCCATGTGGTGCAATCAATGCACATGACGAGTGGACTTAGCAGATTTTCAGGTTGCCCGGAAGCCTCAGATGTCATTTTAGTGCTTGCTATGGCCCTCCAGCTGCCTTGCACCAATGTAGCACCTCCTCCTGCACCAGTGGCCACTGGATGTGAATCCTCATAATATTTTGACAGCAGGCAGATCTATGATTGCTACCCAGTGATTGGTGATGTCTATGGAATGCTCCGGAGACTTCACACAGTGGTACCAAATCTATGCGGTGGTGCTACAAAGCTTGCTGTCATTGCTACCAGTGCTACCACTGCTAATACATCTTAGCTGGCAGCTCAGTAGCCAAAACCCTTTTCCTGATGTGCGTGCACGCGCGTGGGACGCGATCGGGGATTTGCCAGTGCACATGATAGACCAAGTTTTCGTCGAGGGGATTGGAGTCGTCGTGGTCGACTCGGGAAGCTCCCATTGTGTTGAGTTGGACAGGAAGGCCGGCCCCTCCTGAGTCTTCTAGTCTCTTATAAGGGGTCTGAACGATGGTACAGCTCTCTCATGCTTGAGCTGATCGGCAGCACTTCGATAGCCTTCTTTGATTGCCTTTGATTGCATCCATTTGACATTTTATGGGAGAGCCAGCCTGGGTGTGATGTTTGACCGACAAAATGAATAAAATAGTACAGTATCTTTCTTACTTTGGCAATATCATCAATGGGCAGTTTACCTTTGATATCCATTTTACATTAAAAGGGACTATTACAGCTTAAATGAACATGTTTCTCATTGGTAGATTCATATAGGGCATGTAAATTAACATAATATATGGCAAAATTTGAGAATAAACTACTCAATTTTGTCTGATGTGAGGAAGCATTCATAAATAGTTTTAAATGTATATTACTGTTTGTATTTGTGTTTCTATTTTATTTGAAAATTTGACAAACTGAAATGAAATAGTTGGAGCCCTATTTGACATGTAGGTGATGGTGATGGAATTTTCCTTCAGACCACCAATTTTAAATTTACTTATTGGGTTTTTTTAGCAATAGGAAACCAAAGCCAAAATGTCACACCTATCTCAGTAGACAGAATCCTTCCCTCAATCCTGCATTGGACTTGTATATATTGTCAGAAATTGGCGCTAATAGACCATGTCACATGCTCCCAATCCAGTGTCCAAGACAAGTAGCTTCACCACTACAAAGGGTACAAATGGAACGAAGAAAGATAAAAGTGTGGCTACCAGCCATGGGGATACTGCTTCTTATATGTCACTCCAGCCCTGCTCTATCCTAATCATAAGCTCCAGCCGGTCCCACAATTATATGTGAGATCCGCGCATCACCGTGCACTGGTGATTCCCGCTACCACTAACATATATACTGACCCATTTCATTCAATTCTGCCAGTCACGGGCACATCAGATTTTTTTGGCCAAAATATTTCGGCTGGTCACAGGTCACAGCTGATTTCTTTGGTCCCAAAGTGTTCTAAGTGGGTAGTTCAACTACTAGACAGGGCTGGGGCATAGCCCCAGCTTTGAATATTGCTTAAATAATATGAATTCTCAGATTAAGAGCCTTGCCACTAACTACAGGATGGCACATAGATGCTTCTTAAATATCTGGTCTACTATTGTCACTTAATATATATAAATTGCAACCCAAGTTAGTAAACTTTATGTACTTATTTCTCAATTTTGCGCACTTACTTGGTACACACTTCAGTATTGTCATGTTAAATAACCTTAGATATAACTTGTTCATGGTACTGGGTGCAAGATATCACTTACAGCTTTACCTCCCAATTAGGATTGGTCACATTTAAAATTTTACAGCTTCTTTTACCAAGTTGGGGCTATAATAGCGGTGACTCCCAAAAATGGAAGTGTGGAGCAAATAAATTGTTAAAGCCGGTGTAAGGGCAACCCCGGAGGCCTGGCAGGGGAGGATCCAAATGGAAGAAACTCTGAGGGTCCGCCTGCTAGGTAGCTGACTATATACTGCTTGTCCGTAGCTGCCGCTGTCAGGCACAGAAGGCTTGAGCGGTGTCGCAGGCAAGGTCCCAGGGCGACCGTTGGGAGGGCATTGACGGATCAGTGATTGTGCGGGCGAGATGGAGGGCCAGACCGGAGACGCCATTGGAATCGGACTGGAATCGGACATGTCTCCGGGGGGCCAAAAGGGGGGGGTTCCCCTGACAGCCGGTGCCAAACATGTGCATACATTCATACAACATCTGCTTAATATAAGAGT